AAAAAAGCCAGCTGAATTTATCTATTGTTTGAGATATAGGAACAAATTTGTATTCAATTATAAACTTAACTTAAAAAATTATAACCAATGGAAAAATTAACCCAAGGTAAAAAAGATTCAATTTATAAAAGATACCTTATAAAAGAGTATATGCTTTGTTTCTGAATACTGTCATAGAGATTTTGAAAATCGCATGGTCATAATCTATTTTCTACTATAGACATGCACACACATGCACAGACACACACACACACACACACACACACACACACACACACACTTTGTAAAATTTCCAGACCTGAAGTTAGAATTAGTAAATTATTGTATTTTTCATATCCAGGTTTCATCTATGAATACTTAGTGAAAAGAAGGGAAAAGCTTTGTATCTCTAACTAGTGAGCAACTGCTTTCTTTTCTTCTGCTAATAAATTACAGGCAGACTTGAACAGATGTCAGATTGGCATTCGAAACCTAAAATATAGCTGAAGAGCAAGTTATGACTAATACAAGGAAAAAAGATGAATGTCAGAAAGCTTCATTTTTTTTTTTTCTTTTTTTTCAAATTTCAGATAAGCTCTTTAGCCTTAGGGTTCCTTTTACAGAGCCATAGAGTTCGGCTAGATGTCTTAACCCCCATTTAAATTGCAATCTCTCTTCTCAAGTGGGGGTGTGAAAATGCATTCTAAGAGTGTCAGTGTTTATGTTAATCTTAGCAAGAACTCCCTTTCTCCCAAATACAGCAAGCACAAAACCTTAGTGCTCTTTCTTCCACTGTTTTATTTGCACTGTTCTTAACATGTGAAAGATGTCTGAGTGTGATTGGAAGGCTCCTTATCTTCATGGCAGTTCTACTTCATAGAGAAACTGCAGTTTCATTTATGATATCAGAAAAGAGTTGCTTTCCTGTTCAATTTCAAAAGAAAACTTTAAGATATGGACTTAGAGAGGGAGGCACAGAAAAAAGGGGACCAAAAAGAGCACAGTACCAGTTTCAAAGAAGAGGTGCAGAGGGAAAGACTGTAATAAGGGGCTTTCCTACCCTCTATGTGGTCTGGACATCCACAGTCTACAAATACCCAAAAGACAGTGAGTCTGAGACCTCTGGTCTCTACACTTTCCTTCTAGTTCGTCTATCAAAGCTTCTTGCCTTGAGTAGATGTGAATGTATTTCTAAAACTACATTAAGACACCGACTAATTCTTTAGCAATTATTCCAGTATTCATTGAAAAAGTTTTTTTTTGGCTACAACATTTACAACTTACAGAGAGTTTTGCCAGGGATGCTGAAAAATGATATTTCTTTGCAGAAACTCTGTTAAAAAAAAGAGCTGCAATGAGAATTGAGGCACTTAATCATTTATTAATCCTTAGCATTCTTCACAAAACTGCATGTAAGGACTAAGTGTGGTAAATGTCTGAGCAGAAGGATATATTTATTTACATCTGAAAAATTTCAAGGACAGCAATTAGCACCCTAACTTACCTAAACTTCCAGATTCCAACTTCTGATGTTCACACTTCTACTCTAAAACCCTTGTAGTGCTACTATCATCCCACAAAGGATTTAAGATAATTCCTAATTAATATCACATGGGGGCTAAATGATATTCTAACTAAATATCTATTTGATAGTCATTAAGCACAAGGTACAGGTCTAGTATTCAATGCTAATGTCATGCACTTCTAACAAAGAGCTGTCTCACTTGGGTTTAAGTGAGCTCAACTGTTACAGATGAGAAAAAGTAAATAGACTGATTAAAACAATAAGAAAAAGTTTAAACTGATACCCCCAAAATATCTACATCAATATTTATTTTACCTATTTCTACACATACCCTTTAACCCTCTGTCTACATAGCTTTATGTGACTTCCTTTTCCCTTTAAGGATTTTCTTGATTTAAATTCTATAAAAATATAACAAAAGCAGGACAGTATATACTATATACTTGGAAGTACTTCAAGAGTGACACTAGGGCTGGCGATGTAGCTGAGCAGCACAGCACCTGCATAGAAAGCATGAGGCCCTAAGTTCAATACTTGGTATCAAAAAAGAAAAAAGAAAAAAAAGAGCGACACCAACAAATTGGAAACTATGACAGTTATTTTCACATATATTAGCTCATTTGATCCCTAATTTCACAGCCTAAGTGTGTGTCTGTTTAAGTCATGTAGTTTTAAAATCTTATCAGCAATATTCTGTGTACATCTAACCTATACTGTCATCATCATCACCCCCCACCCCCCACAGCTGGGCTGGAACTTGCAACCCTCCTACTGTGTGCCGCCATGCCCAGCTTTTATTTTCAATTTGAAAAGGAAACAGTTTTACAAGCAAAGGGAAAGAAACACATTACCTAGAAGCACAATTACCAGTTTCATAAACATGATCACAGAAGACAAAATTCTAAATATATTACTTTGTGAATTTAACAAATTGATACATATATAGGCAAAATTCATTTAGTTATGAGACCTATTTTCAAAGTAGACCTAACTCCACATCCCATTGAAAACATAATGATTTATTTTGAAGACAAAAGTAAAGTTCTCCATTTAGAATTTAAAAAGTCCATAACCTACAAAAGTTATTCTTTTCTAATTTTTATTTGAATTGATTTGACTAATCATACCTAGTATTTAATCAAATCCCAAAATCATATAGTCTTATCTATTTAGTTAATAAAGAATAAGAAAAGAGATCAGTCTATTTGGTTCCCTCTGGCAAGGTAAAAGAATGTAGGGTATACATAAAAAAGTTTATAATTTTATTTATATTCTGTTCAAGTGTAGCAATTTTTATTCATACATATCTTCACCAAGCCTGATGAGAATTTTATAACCACAATATACTTGGAATATAATGTAATATTTTACTAATTCCTTCAGAATTCAGAAGAAAAAAGAAAGAAGCCTCTATTGGATAATGGGGAATGACACATGCATAGCAAAAGAACGGTATTTCTCAGCCATTTAACCTTTTTTTTTTTTTTAAGTAGCTTTACTTTTCTTTTTTTTTTTTAAAAAAAGGATACTCAGAAGCTTCACTGAGAATTCAAAAAAATAAAGTTTTTCAATTTGGCTCAAAAACCAAAATAGCTTTACAGTAGTTGTCTCTTAAATCAAATTGATAACATATGCTTCTTGATAGTAAAAAGCCATAAAGAGAAAAAATATGACTTTTTAAAACAGAAAAAGCTCATTCATTGTCAAATTAAATTAGTATAAACATATTAGAAAAAAATCTCTTAAGAAAGGCTATGGACAGTAACACAAACAAAATTCAAATCCATAGTCCTTAGTCAAATCACATAAACAACAATAAAAAAAATCACTATAATTCAATTTATTGAAATATGGATATCAGGAATGGATTAAAATTCACTAATAAATTCCAAACCTATATTGATTTAATTTCACACTTTGACAGCTGGCAAAGTCACAAATTACTGACAGAAGTTCTTATATTAACTATATAAGACAGAGGCCCTCATGCACAGGGTCTTGATAATGTACAAATAGGAAACTAGTATCTGCATAACTAAATCCTCAATAGCTTCCAAACAGTGAGAAAATACTTATAGTTAAAAAAAAAAAAAGGGTATGGCTAACTACAGAAGCCTTTACTTTTCTACTTGGTGGCTAAACAGTATAAATATTCAAGGAAACAGAATCATTTACTCCTGTAGGTCTCACTTCTAAAAACTAGTAAGGTATTCCATAAGAATAACTTGGAGGATTTGGAATCATTCTTTTAACTCTGGTTTTACCTAAAATACACCTAAACAACATTTCTACATTTTGATCAAAGCTTTTAAAGACTTTATTGTGCTTCAAAATACAAATTACCAAGACAGTGAACTGCTGTATCATGCTTTTTCACTATTTTCCAAATTAGAATTCTGTTGTTTTATGGACTTGGCCTTTGTATCTTTCAGGTAAAAAGTATGTTATTGCCATTTCAAGGTGTATAAAACTCAGGTGATGAGGGTCTCTGTCAGTTTCTCTTAATCCAATTCCAAACTCGACCTTTACCCAGTGAACAGGTGTGTGCCGTGCCTGCAAATTATCAGACTGAGTGACCAGGCAGAAAAGCTACCAACAATAGGAGGCTAATACAATCCAAGTACTTAATGCCTAGAAAGCAGTTCTTATCCCAACTGTGATGAATATACTTTTATCTCCCAGTAGCAATTTAAAGAAAAAGAGTAATGAGGGTGAGGAGAATAATATATTTGTATTCTTTTAGGTTTTTTTTGTGTTTTTTTTGGATCCTGTTTTTACGCAAATAGTCTGCTAGAAGTTGTTAGGTTATAAATTCCTTTCTCAGATATTCTGTTGCTCACATTCCAGTTTAACGTAGTATATAGATATGAAAACAGTCATGACAGCATTTCCACTGGGCAAACAGAGTCACTTCACACAGATAAATAAACCTTCAAGAAGAATGTGATAAATGAATAGAGCATTTTTTGTATGCAATATAAAAACTCCTATGTATGTCCTGGATTTATCTCTTGAGATCAAACTTATTCAACTTAAAAACATGCCAGGAATTCATTTACTTGGTATGAAGAGGAACTAAGTGTGTAATTCAATAGTATAATAAAAAGAATATCTTATATTAGAAAAATGCCCACATAAAATGCTCACACTAGAAAAATAGCCCATTATCTAATAGATAGTGACTATTCAGCAGGGTAAATCTGACCTACAATGGATGTTTAGAATCAGGTAAAATTTCTAAATTTGCCCTATAGAAAAACATAAAATAAACAAATAAATAAGATGGAATAAGCACAAATATTGTTTCTATGACTTCTCCATAAAGTTAAATATTTGGAAACTTTTTCAGAAAACTTTAGAATTTTTTAAAAAAGCAGTTAAGACTGAAAATACTTTTGGTAGATCTGAAAAATAATTTCAAAACTACTGAAATGAGATTATCATTTAATTTTTTAAACAATACAAGCTTTTATCAAATTTTCCTTTTTGAACTTACCCATCTGCTCCACAATCTCTGGAGGAAATACTCGGGAAGCAAATGCTCGTCGAAAAATATCAGAAAATTCTTTGTCCAGACCTCCTATTCCCATTTTTTCAAAGTTCCAATCAGGATTGATGATAGACTGGCGATTTTCCTTAGTTTTAGCCTTGCCTATACCAAACAATCAAATGTGAAGAGAATTTTGATATGAAGTTTAAAATGACAGATGCTCTCTGGGCATCCTAAATGAATAAAGCCAAGCTACATTTACGCAAAGAACATCAACATAATTTTGGATGATTTTCTAAGAATTAGGGTAAATTTGCCTTATCTACTTTTTCTGGTCTCTATTCACAGTCAGTGCTAGACTTTCAAAATGACTAGCTAAACTTATGCTGTAGTGTATATATTCTATTTGTAATCAATCTATGGAATTTTATTTCATTAACTTTTAATTTGAACAAATTAACAACATGGTTGATTAGAAGAAACACCATATGCATATCTGATAGAAAAAAAAAGCACTGGTTACCCAAAATGCAACTAGAATTTGACTGTTTCTCAAGGTTCCGAAAGCAAGTGTAATTAAAATACATACATTTATCCAGATTAGGTTTATAATTGGGTACACAAACCTTTTGTCTGAGATGTCCTGAATCAACCTGATGCTTTTTCTTTTCTTTACATGTGCAAAAAAGTCTAAAATCATTGTAAAGACTTTCATGATTACAAAATTCATGTTTACAAATCTCTCCCAAGGTTAACAATTACCTATCTTAAATGTCAGAGTGCCACCTAAAGTAACTCAAGAGAACCACATTTACTATTTCAAACACAAAGAAAAAAGGTACCTTATACTCTACTATAAATAAAAAGTAAAAATACAGCTTTTATAAAGTTGGGGAAGAAAATATCACATTAAAAAAGTTTAGATCATAATTTTATGGTTAAGAGTTTTGGAGACTTAAGATTTCCTTCAGGAAGTGATCAAAAATATTTTGGTTTCACTCCACTGCCCTCTTGTGGTCAAATTTGCTGTATGGCAATTGCTACAAAATTTTGTTTTCTGATGGAAATTACATCTTTTCACAGACTTTTTTTCTTCTTTTTTTCCACAGATTACTTGGAAACACCTACATTGTATGAAAGTTATGTAATTCTCTTGGGATAAAATATCTTAACAAATTATGCACAAAAATAAGATACAAAATAATTACTTTATAAATATATTGGATCAGTAGAGATAATAACCCCACATATAAATGACTATATAGGCATTAAAAATAATATTGTAGCAGTATATTGTGTGACACATGCTAAAACAAAAAAGAGAATTATAAAACAGTACAAAGATAAAATCAAATTTTAGCATGTGAATGTTTTTGAGAGAATGCCTGCCCATATTTTATTATTAAGAAAATACTGTAACTCTGCTTGCCCTGCAAGTGGAAGGACCGGAGTTCGATCCCCAGTACCACCCTCACCCCCCCAAAAGAAGAAAATACTGTAAGAGGGAATGGTAATTTATGAATCAAGAGAAAAAGGCTACACATTTAAGGAAAGTTAAGTAACCTTGGACATGATGGTGTGCAGGCAAGGAAAACTGTTTTTTATTGAAGCAGACATGAACATAGCTAAATCAACCAAAACTAAGTATTACTATCCAGTTAATGGCACTGTTATTTTGGTGAGCTACTATTTTTGGAGACTAAACTGCATTATTTTAATATACTAAAAATAAGCCTGCTGGGGAGTTAGCTCAGTGTGCTATGCCTGCCTTGAAAGCACAAGGTCCTGAGTTCAGTACTGGTACTGGGGGAAAAAAAAGGCTGAAGTACAAGAGGAAGGAAAAAACAAAAGAGATAAAGTACAAGAGGAGGACTGAACTAAGAATCATTAGAAACATTTTAATTGCATATTCATCATTTGATCCCTAATAAAAGTGATAATAATATTTCACGTAACACAACAACCTAATGGGGGACACTATAACTAGCCAGTTTTCAAGGTCATGAAAGATAAAGAAATTCTGAGGAACTGTCAGAGACTGGAAAAGACTAAAAACAACTAAATGCATTGTTGGATAATCCTAAATAAGATCCAGGAACAGAAAAATGACATTAAAAAAAAAACCATAATGGTGAAATCCAAATAAAATCTGTAGTATGGTTACTACCCATGAGACCACGTTTACACATTTAGGATCTTCATTTTGATAAGTGTAGTGTGATTGTATAAGGTGTTCACAAGAGGGAAAGCTGATGAAGAGTATACAGAAATTTTCTGAGCTATTTTTACAAATCTGTAAGCCTAAAATTATCAAAAATTTAAAATTAAAAAATTAATTTCATTGTTTCTTTTTACTTATTTTAGTGTGGCTATTAGGAAATTAAAAATTACAAATGTGTTTCACATTCTATTTCTATTGGCCACAGCTGATCCGGCTGAAGGTTTTAAACTTTTTCATCAGCACTTCTGATAAATATGAAATACTCCATGGTTTTGTGATAAGTCCTCTAAAGGGAAAGCCCTTCTTCTCTCGCCCCATTTGAAAATGACTTTGAGTCACAAAAAATAAAACTAAATCTTACCGATAAGATTGAGTGATGAATTTTCTGCTTTTTCAAATGCAACTTGACTGTTTCCAACAACCAGTCCTACTTCAATCTATACAGAAAGATAATAATTAGCAGGCTAACAGTGGACTTCTGGACCTCTCAAAGCAAGGTTGAAAGTAAAGGAGGAATGAAATCTCTGTGCAAAGCAAATCTTCCAAAACAAATCATCTGAGTTATTCACTTTTATCATAACTACCTCCTACAATTCTTACATATTTTATTTAAATCCTGGTATCTTTTCCATAATCCTCCTGCATTCAACAAGAATCAACAAGTATAATCAAGGGCTGGGGCTTTAGCTCAGTGGCACTGCACCTGACTCACGCTTGTCCTGAGTTCAACTCCTCCCCTCCACCAGAAAAACAAGTATATTCAAATTTCAAATTACTATGTCTGCAAATAAGTATATTTTGTTATATTTTAATAAAGATTGCTATAAAAGCAATTTTTTCTATTTAAAAACCCCACGATATGAAAAAAATTACCAAGCAAGAGGATAGTTAGAAAAATTAATTTGCACAATTTATATCATAAATATTATCCAATAAAGGTTAGAAATGAAGCATACCTTCTGTCTTTTACCTGTTGCAGCCTCTCCTTTCAGGATGCTAGGATCCATGGCTTCAATATCCTTCACCAGTAAGCCAAAAAGCTTTTCATTGAAGCTAAACACAAGCTATGTAGGAGAAGAATTACTTCATGATATAAATGGCTTGACTCTCACATTATCAGGTACATTTTCCAAATACATAAAATCAGTTTTCTTCTTTGCGCCCTTCTTAAATCTGCTCCATTAAGCACATTCACAGTGTCCATGAGAGGAAAGGGAGCTAAAATATTTATTATCTGCTAGGTATCAAACACTATAGGAGCCTACAAAACTAATACAAATGCTCTTGGAAACAAACTATAGTATTGTTCAGTATTACTAGTGAGGAAGCTGAGACCCAGAAAGAGGCTAAGCAGTGGACTCAGAGTAAATGATAGTGCCAGGGGTCAAGTCCAAGTCTATGACTCTAAAATTCATGCTTTTCTATAAACAATGTATGATGCCTCCCACACAAGTGCAGAGACAGCCTCTGAATTCATTCACCAAATTCCTGTTTTATGCCTTATACAACCTACTATGCTGGAATATAACAGTAATACCAATCCTGCTATTACTATTACAAATGAGAATAAATACTAAGAATAGCGATTTGGGATACTTACTTCTCTGTATTCTGGAGTAATTTATTTCATGGATTTATTGACATATTCATGTCACTGGGTTTGAAATTATTACAAATACCAAAGCACTTATTAAACATTCTTCTATGTATTTTCTATTAAGATACTAAAGATTGGCCAGGGATTTAGTTCAGTGGCACTGTGCCTGCCTCGCAAGTGCAAGGTCCTGATACCAAATACCAGAAAAAAAACAACAACCAGATACTCAAGATAAAGACAAAGGTGGAAAAAATGAAGTTTAGCTAGACAATCTAAGTATAAAAATGAAGGAATCCAGAAGGAATACAGCATAGTCAAAAAGCAGTGGGCTGAGTCAATAAATTACCATCTAAATCATCTGGGGCAGCCTTCTCAAATCATCTGATACAAAACAGTATGGCAATGGCTCAAGGTCTACTTACAACAGAGTACTTGACAATACACAGCATTTCTCATTTTCTGGCTTCCTCAACTAGAAAGCAAGCTCTATGAGAATGGCTGGAACATACTTGACACTATTAAATATTTGTTTACTTAATTCTTATCTGTGTTCTTAGTTGTATAACCATAGGCACATAATTTACCTTCTTTCATCTGTAAATAAAGTTAGACAAGGTAATATCTGAAGTTCATTCCAATTCTCATATTTTCTGCAAAAATACCCTATATTCTTTTTTTTGTCTATCAGTAATTCAGTTTCTGTTTGCAAAAAAATTGATCTTATAAAGCACAGACTACCTAGGTCGTTAGTCTTCTTCGTTCAGTTAGAAAAGAGTAAAAAATAACATTCCTTCCACCTCAATAACTCTTACCTTCTCATTGTTCAGCAAGATCAGGCTGCATAAGTCATTAGTGATCAGAATGCTAGAGAGCAATGACTCTCAAACATTTTGGTCTCAGGACAGGATACTATTGCACACTTCTAAAAACGTGTGCGGACCCCAAAGAGCTTTTGTTCATATGGATCAGACCTACTGATATTCACTGTATTAGAGATTAGAATTAAAAATGTACACATATTGACTTAAAATTAATAATAAATCTATGTATTAACATTCATTTTTTAATTTAAAAAATCCTATTTTCTAAAAACAAAATAAGAAGACTGGCACTGTAACATTTTTACAAATCTCTTTAGTGTCTGGCTTAATGTAAGATAACTGGATCCTCAAATCTGCTTCAGCATCGATGTGTGATGCTAGCACATATCACATAGTCTTTGCAAAACTCCACTATACACTTGTGAAAGAGTAAGAGAAAAAAGACAAATAATGCCTTGACATTATTATGAAAACAGTTTTGAATTTATAGAACCAATGAAAAGTTCTGAGGGATACCCTGGGTTCTCTGGACCACACTTTGAGAACTGCTTCTATGGAACCATGGTATGAAGGAGTCAGCTGGAATGATTTAAAAAGTCACAAAGGAGGGGACAAATGTGATAGTAAGGTCAAAGAGCAATGATTACTTATCTGTACAACTTATAAACTCACATTTTAAGTATAATTTTAAAAGAAAAGAATTTCCTCTTGAGAGGTTTAACATGTGGTATTATCTCAAGACCAAAAAAGAGGCAATACTGGCAAATGTTTTCAGAAAGTGTAGGCTTCAGAAGTTCCATATAAATATTGAAAATATATGTACATGGTTTTCTTAAGATTCTCAAATAAGTATTAACCAAAAAAATTAAGTACTACTTTTCTACAGAAATGTTAGTAAAACAGAAAGGCATCCCAGAGACAAAACAAGTGTTCTACAATAAGAAATTTCAGATATGTCTACAGTGTTCCTGAATTTGCAGAGGAAAATCTACTGTAAGTATATATGACATTTCAATCTAAAAGCTACTTTTAACTTTTTATAAACAGATTTCAAGAGGTTCAATAAACACATCTCTCTTTCTATCCTTCATCTTGGATATACCTATTCACATGCAAAGTTCTTCTCAGTCCTTAAACATATAATTAATTTTGAACAATGTGTAGGATTAGAATACCTAGAAAGTGAAAGGAATGAAAGAAAATTTAAACCTACCTGCTGTCCCACTGAGAAGGCCTGGTTGTTGAATTGCTGAATAAATTCTGCTGCCATCTTGTCGGTATCATAAGGATTGGAGTCAATGCTTTTTTTCTGCAGGAAATCAATCTCCATGGTCATTGTGCCAATACACTGTTTGGCTTTGTCAAATGTATATAAAGAGACTGGGAGGGAAAAAAAGCGTTTTCTAAAATCACAGGGACACCAAATACTTGCTGTGTTTCTAATAATAAAAGTTCAACATAAATGAATCATAACAATACTTGAGCAGAAGAGGGCTTCACATGGCCTTCACTGGAAGGACAGAGCACAAATTTTAAAAATAGTAACAACCAGAACTGGGGATTTAGTTCAGTGGTGCCACGTCTGCCTCACAAGCGCAAGGTCCTGAGTTTGATCCCCAGTACCAAAACAAAACAGTAATAACCACTAAAGACTTTCTTCCTCATCTGAATTAATCAGAAAATATTGATCAATCTCTCCCTCATCTTCTACCCTTCACTCATCTATGCAAAATCACAGCTCTCCCCTCATGGCCTACACATCTTTCTCCTTCAAATTTAACAGAGGATGAAATGTTAGTATGGAAAGCCCTAGCAGAGTTGGCACGGCATGTGGTTTCCAAAGATTTGTTTGACACACAAAAAAGAGCTAAGAGGTTGGCAGGTGGACGGATCCTTTTGTCCTACAAAAGATGCAGAGCAAAAAAAAAAAAAAGGCTTAAGAACAATGTTTACTAGGAGACAAGCTCTAAAGCAAGCTAGAGTATGCTATTTCTCTTTTAATACTATAATAATATTAAGCTGGGCATGGTGGTACATGGCTGAGATCCCAGCACTCAAGAGGCTGAGGCAAGAGGATCTCTGCAAGTTCTAGGCCAGCTTGGACAACACAGTGAGTTTAAGGCCAGCCCTAACTATATATACGGTGAGATGCTGTCTCAAAAAAAAAAAATTAAGTACTCACTATATTAAGCAATTCTAGTCAGTTGTATATGTAGAAGATGTTGAACAGGGCAAGGGCCATGTTTTTAACTCATCTTTTATTACAGCATCTAACAGTGTCTTTTAGGTGCTTACTATACTCAAGAACTTCTTAAATGAAACAGGAAAACCCCAATGATCTCAAAGCTAATACTAAAGGAGACAAGTATATATACAAAGTATTGGGTAAGAAAACTGCTACTCAATTCATGTGAAAACTTTTTACTCCTCTAACATACCAAACTGCCTTTGGCTTCTCTAATACTCAGAGTTTGCAGGCTCCACATGCACATCATAAGTTCATTCTCTGTGCTACTTATATCTGTTACAACAATTATGCAATAAAATTAAATAGTGTTAAAAACTTTACACTTTTACATTCTAGAACTGATATTATAAAACTAAGTGGAGCAAGGCGTGCTGGTGCATGCCTCTAATACCAGCACTCAGGTGGCTGAGGCAGCCTGGGCTACATAGTGGTTTCAAGGCCATCCTAAACTACATGGTCAGACCCTGTCTCAAACAAACACAAATCTTTAAAAAACTAAGTGAAAAGCTTTGGGGGAAAACTTGGAAAATGAAGAACATTCTGTAAAACTAGGTATAAGCACAAAAATTAGAAAAGATTAGGGGTGAAATTCATTAAAATCCAAAAGGATTTTGTACTCTGCGGTGCTTCAAAAAGTCTAAGTTTTCCATTCATTTCAAAGAACCCATATTGAAAATTATGGTTGAAGTTTATATGCAAAAGACAGTATCAAACTCCAATCCGTGGACCAAAACTCCAAGAAAAGGCTTTTAATCTATTTTTGAAATAATGTTCAGTCCCAGTCACAGAAGATAACAGAGCTTCTACCGTTTTTACAAAAGTAGATAATAAAAAGATTGGTTTTTAACATTCACTTTAGACCAGAAATATGGTACTTTTGCAAATTACTGTGGTCAAATAGCAAGAAGCTAAAAACAAGTCATTTCAGTGTAGTTTTCAGTTGATCTGTAATTATTAAATGCCTGTTGCAAAGATTATAGTGGTTCACAAACAAAGCTGTTCTCTTCAAAGGTTCTTTGATTCTGTACGTTTTAACAGATCTCGCTAGAATACAGGTAATCATTTTAGCTCTCTGTGCCTTCATTCATCACATGTGTAAATCAGGAAGACTGGACTAGGCAATTCTGTATGGTCATTCCTAATTCATACTACAAATTCTAAACTGATTTCTTATATTCTAGCCATTTAAGGTATGTACAAGGATTTTCTGTAAATTCTTTGAGTGAAACTGCTTGTAAGTACATTTTAGCTTGCCATCATAAAGGGAGCAAACATATTTTAAATATTTCAAAAGCAAAATAAAAAAGCCAAAGTAAGGGGTGGGAAATGTATTATAGATCAAAGAATATGTTCAAGTTATGGCTGGAAGTTTCAGGACACTATGAACATTTTGGACATTTTGTTCCTTCTTCACATTTCCTAAAAAGCACAGGATCTAGGCTGAGTAACTTTTATAGGCAAAAGATTAGTTATTTCCCCATATATTGAGTACTTATATGTTGAAATACTAATATAGAACGGAATAAGTAGATTCCGAAATTCCATTTTCAGGTTATGTATCCCAGAAAGATTCTTTTTATTTCCCCAGAAGAATTATTCAACATTTGCCTAAAATGAGATCTACAGGGAGATTCACTGCAGCATTATTTGCAGTAGTCAAACATAATGAATAAAATATAGTTAATTTAATTAAAATAAAAATTTGATCTATATTTAACAAAGATGTATGGTCCATGAAAACATAATACTGAATGAAAAAGTATATTTCAGAAATATTTGTGCAGCATGATACCATCATGTGCACCAAAGAATCCAAAACAATATTGCAATATAATGCATGAATACATATGTGCATATGTATATATCTATATCATCTTAATACTGAGAAATTAAAATATCATCTCTGACTACAGTTTTCAAGTTCATTTTAATTTCAGATCAACATTCCTAATAAAAAAGACCAAGCTGTGGAGGGGATGAAGGGTGCACAGGTAATGGGGAAAAAATAAGAACCAAGATACATCATGTACAGGTACAAGCACCCAATGATAAATG